TATTTATTTTTTAAAGAATTATTTATTTAATTTTATTTATTCATTTATTTATTTTCTAATTTGACCAGAAAGAGAGAGAGAGAGAAAGTCAGAAAGCAAGCCATCTGGTCCTGGGCTCGGGCCGTGGTCGGCCATGTGGGAATGTCCAGCGCCTTAACCACCACGCCACCTGCTGGTCCCCAGGCATGGGAATTCTTATAGGCATGCTTACAAATGCACCCTGTAACTTGTCATGTAGGGGTGTATACTAGGCCCTGATTCTCCCCATAACAGTAAGGGGCCTGAGGGCAGCAGTGGTCACTGGTGCAGAAAATAGTGCCTGAGAAGTTGTCCAGAGCAGGCAGCAAGAGGTGGGACCACATGGTGGGCCACAGTTCCAAGCCTCCAGCATATGCTTCTTTGTACCCTAGGGCTTTATACAAAACATAAATTCAAAGATAAAACTACAGAGAATGTCGGTATTAACCCCCACATGTTAGGCTCCCTTTGGGGTGCAACTGTCATACACTTATGGGACTAATCTTGGCTGAGACCTAGAGCCTGGGATTGAGGCTCAAAATCCTAGGGACTCAGTCAAGATGAAAAATCTAAACAGAACAGTTTTTATAGAAATGATCAACGAGCTCTTCCATCAAATAAATAAATAAATAAATAAAAGCACCAGACTCTTGTAGCTTGACAAAGGATTCTACTTAATTGTCAAAGGCCAAAGAATGCTGGAGCCAGCAGGTGGCATAGTGGTTAAGGCACTGGACTCCCACATGGCTGACCACGGTTCAAGTCTCAGATCTAGCAGCTTAAAACGCATGCTGTGTGTGTGTGTGTGTGTGCCCAAAATCCTGAGAAGAGAATAAGGGAGAAGGGACTACAGCATAGTGGGGTTGATCTCTCGTTTTCTTTCTCTCTGACTCTCCAATAAGCACACATGCCTTATAGCAAAAAATCTTTTTCTAAAAAAAAAAAAAAAAAGCTAAAGAATGCCTTTGCTACCTGAAGTTTTCCCAAGCAGTGAAAAAAGGAGGAAATTTTCATTTACTATTACTACTGTGCTAACAAAGTCCTAGAGTATGAAATCTTAAGCTTCACACCCAAAGATCCTGAGTCCACAAATAGGGCTGGAACAGTTCCTGAGTCTGTCCCCCCATCATTTTCCCTCTTCCCACATCCTGACCTTCCCCTTCTTTCCCCAAGGATACCTGGGCTGTCTCTCTGGCAACTCCATTTTCAGTTCATCCGGGGAAATGTTCTGGGACAAGAAGACAGGAGAGAAGAAAATTAAATGAGGGCTTAACTATGTGCCAAGGCTCTGTTCTAAGAAACACATGGAGGGGCCAGCAGGTCGCGTGGCAGTTGAGGGCGCTGGACTCCCACATGACCGACTACGGTTTGAGTCCCGGACCTGGCAGCTTGCTTTCTCACATTCCCTTTCTTGTGTTCTCTCTGTCTCTCTCTGGTCAAATTTTAAAATAATAATAACAAATAAAATTAAATAAATAAATATTTTAAAAAGAAAGATACACATGGATAAACTCACTGAGTCTTGCTTAACATGTGGTATTAGTCTTATTATGCTCACTTTACAGCTGAGGGAACTGAGGCCCAGGGATGTGAAGGCACTTGTCCAGGGCTGCCCAAATAGTAAGCAGCAGAGTTCTGATTTGAATAACCACCTCACTACACTTCCTGTCCAAGTTGCCTGAGGAAGCCCAGCCCCAGTGTGCATGGACTCCCTCACAAATCCTTCCCATGACATCATCATCATCATTCTCACCTTACTGATAAAGACAGTGGGGCCCCAAGAGGGTAAAGTCTATCTTTTATAAAGAATTTCCACTAGTTCTTTGCTAACTTACTTACCAGAAATTTGCATCTCAATAAAGTATAATCATTGTTATCATCATTACCACTTTATTGAGCAGAAGCTATATACCAGGCCTTGTTCTAAGCCCATCACAAGGATTAATTTATTGAATCTGCAAACAATCCTCTAAGGTAGGTACTACAAGGGGACTTCAAAAGTTCATGGGGAAAAAAAAGGGGGGGGGTAAGTTCATGGAAAAATGGAATGCTTTGGTGTTAAAAAAAAAAAAAGAATTTCATGCTTAGTTTTTCATAATATACATAGTCACAAACTTTTTGGAGACCCATCCTCCTCATATTCTACCCATTAAAAGAGACCTATACAAGTGAAGTCTCTTGCCTAGGGTCACAACTGTGCTAGAACTTGACGTCCACTTCTTTCTGACCCTCAATACCACGCTCTTAGCATCAGTTCTAGCCCCTTGAGTCTCCCAGTCCCACCGTGTACCCCTTGGGGGTCTCATCTACCCCAGACCCTTACCTGAAATTCTTCCTCCAAAACCACCATCTGCCGGTCTTTGTCCACCTTCACTGGAGAGGAATGGCACACAGGGATTAGACACTCCTCTCATCCAGGGGAACACTCACCCAGACCTCCCCGCATGTCCCCACCCCCTCCATCTTTCTGCAGGAAAAGTGTCACTTACTTATTATGGCCGCGTTGTCCGTCTCTTTTCGGAAGCGGAATTTCCTCAGCTTTTCTGTTAACTCTGGGTCCACTTCACACACCACCAGGGAGTCAGACTGCCAGAGGGACCCAGTGAGATCTCCGTGGGCCTGTCCTCAGCCCCTGCCTCCTGCCCCAACTGCAGTTTTTCTAACCACTAAGAAGAGGAGGGTCACTCTAACCCCTCTGATGCCTGGTGAACACAGGGACAGAAGCCCTTTCCGCAGAGCAGATGCTGCCCCTCACCAGAACTCACAGGAGCAGGACAGACGCTGGGTTCCAGCTCTCACGGTGGGTACCCTTTGGCAACACTCTAGGAGATCCAGGGATCCCCTAGAGGGATCCACTTGCCTAAGTCAAAACCCGGAACCCCTTTCTCCCAGCCAGGCTCTTTGCTGCAGTTTCTCCCCTTTGCAGTCCACAACCTCCATCCCACAGATGTCCTCCCAGCCCCAGCCCCAGGCCCAGCCTCTCACCCTTCCCATACAACCTCTGGCCCCTCACCATGGTTTTTCTGTGCACAGGCCTCTTCTTTTCTCAGTTCCGCTGTTTTCTAGAGGTGGGGACCTGGGCTGCCGGATGGGTGCAGGGAGGCGGGCTATGGGGTAGGGGGAAGGTTTCATCCAACACCACATCCTGTTTATGCCCATTCTGGGACAACTGTCACAGAGGGCTCCTCCCCCTTCTTCCTTCCCCTCATCTGCTAGGACCTGTCAGGTCTGGCAACCACTCAGTCCAGGGTTCTACCCTAGCTCAGTAACTTCACTCCTCGGATTCAGGATTGATGTGAAGGTGAAATGGCTTATCTCCCAGCATGGTAGACACAGTAGATATCAAAAGTGACCTTTTTTGTTCCACCTCTCCTCCAGGTGGCCTTCCTGGATTTATCTGCATCTGCAGTATCTGAATCGCAGAGCTGGAAAGGGGAGTTTAGAGGCTTTTGCCAGGGAGACTGCCATCCATTCTGTTGTTGGTGAAATAGAAACTAGAGAAGCAACTCCACAGCACCCGGGTAACGGCAACTTTTTTCTTGCACGTTTTATCTTGTGGGCCTTACAATGGCCTCTGAGGCCTACAATAATGAAGTCCAGTCCTGTCAGACCAGTACTCCTTCTTTTATATTAAGAGTGTTTGAGGGACCAGCAGTTGGTGTAATGGCTATGTTGCTGGACTCTCATGTAGTCAACCATGGTTTGAGTCCCAGACATGGTGGCTTAAATTCACGCTGGGCGCATGTGCGCATCTGCCCAACATCCCAAGAGGAGAGTGGAGGAGAAGGGATTGAGGCATGACCATCCCCCCTGGGGGGTGATTTCTCACTTTCTGTCTCTATGTCTGTCTGTCTGTCTGGCGAGTGCACATGCCCTTATAGCGAAAACCTCTCCCAAAAAAAGAAAAAATAAAATCAATATACTGTCCTGTCATAGAAAGGAGAAATAAAGGGAAACTTACTTGTGCAAAAGCATATGTATTTCAGGAAGAAAATATAAGCCAACAAAAAAGAATTTCTGCCAGGTTCTGGCCCTTTTCTTTTTTTGGGGGGGAGGGGGGTTGGTGGCTAGAAAATACCTGTGCATGCATATGTTTGCCTGCAAGAGAGAAAGAAATCAATCCCTGGGACTGGTGGCCACATCGCGATCCCTTTGCCTGTATTCTCTTCTAGAGATTTTGGGCATGCATGCACACTTGCCTGGTATGTTTTTCAAAAAGTCATTGGGAGGGGACCAACAGATGGCATAATGGTTATGTCGCTGGACTCCCATATGGCTAACTGCAGTTTGAGTCCTGGACCTGGAGGCTTGAAACTCATGCCAGGTATATGCATGCCCAAAATCCCTAAAGGAGAAGGTAGGAGAGGCATGGCCTTTGGGGATGATTTCTTACTTTCTCTCTGTCTCTCCAGTGAGTGCCCTACAGCAAAAATCTCTCTTAAAAAGGTCATGGGGCCAGCAGGTGGCATGGTGGTTTAAGACCCTGGACTCTTACATGGCTGACTGTGGTTCAAGTCCTGGAACTGGTGGCTTGTTTTTTTCTCTCTCTCTCTCTCTCAACAAACTCGAAAATAATAATAGTAATAAATAAAGTTAAACAAATAATAAATAAAGTTAAACAAAAAAATTGTTAAAAAAAAAAAAAAAGCCATTGGATCTGGGACTTGAACCATGCTGTCACTTGGCCCCACTTTGACTAGCTGGCTTTGCCAGCTTCCCTCTGTACCAAATAGCAAGCCTCCCCCGGCCCTCCCTTGCCCCTCATTTGTCCCAGACCCCACCCCCTTCACCTACTCCAGGGTCTGTCTGCCGTGATTCTCCCAGTCTCTCCTGCATCACTAACATCCCATTCCTACTAGATCTTTCCCCTTAGGTTGTGTGTGGTGCTCCTTCTTCCATCTTACAAGCCAAAACTGTATTTCCCTTCTAGATACTGCTCATTCATTTCCTTCCCTTTTCAACAAATTTTCTCAAAAGAATTGTCTACACTTGCTGCTTCCAATTTCTCTTCCCAATTTTCTCTTAAACCGTTGCCAACCAGACTGTCACCCCTGCTGCTCTCCACTGTCATACCCTCGTCAGGGTCACCAGTGACCACAATGGTGTTGGCTCTGATGGTCAATTCTCAGTCCTCATCAGCCTCATCTGACACACTGGTTCCCTCTCTGCTCCCTGAAACCTTTTCACTTGGCTTCCATGGCACACACAAGTTTGGCTCTCTTCCTACTCCCCAGGCTGCTCCTTCTCAACCTCTTGCTGATTCCTCCTAAAAAAAAAAAAAAAAGAGAGAGAGAAAAGTTTGATTTATTCCATGAGTGAGTGAGAGACAGAGAGACCATCACCAACGGGGTTTTCATTTTTTTTTTCAGCACCAGAGAGCACATGTACACACCAGAGAGAGAGAAAGCACCCCCCTTTTCTCCATCCAGTCAAGATCCTGAGCATCCCACGTGCACATGAGCACACATACACACACACACACACACACACACACACCAGCATGTTCTTTAAGCTACCAAGGCCAGATTTAAACTGTATCAGCTATGTGGGATCTGGCTCCCACTGTACAGCACTCAACCACTGTACTACAGGACCCCTCCTGTACAACAGGCTCTCAATGTCCTTATCCACTCCTGGCTTTAGCCAGCCCTAGTCATGGATACATGTGTGCCCAGTATACTCAGGGATGTCTCTGGGTGCAAGCCCAGAACCTTCCCATATGGGGTCAGCCTCTAGAGTGCCAAGTTTGACCACTCTCCATTGACTGCCCTCCCTCCTTTTTTTTTTTTTTTTTTTTTTTAATTTAAGACATTTTTGCCTTTGGGAGCATACACTTGCTGAGAGAGAGAGAGACAGAGAGATAGAGAGAGAGAAAGTCAGAAATCATCCCCAAGGGCAATGGCCATGTCACAATCTTCTCCATTCTCCTTTCAGGATTTTGGGCACACATGCACATATGCTGGCATGATTTTCAAGCCACTAGGTCCAGGACTCTAATCGCAGTTGGTCATGTGGAAGTCCAGTGACATAACCTCTATGCCACCTGCTGGACCCCTAATTCCTCCTTTTATCATTGGAGAGTCCCAGTGCTCAGTCCCTGATTCCCTTCCATTTTTCATCTACCCTACTCCCTTCCTGATCTCAGCCAGCCTTTCAAAGGGGATACCCTGGCTATTTCGCCAGCTTGAAACTCGTTCTGAACTCAACTCTTACATCCATTTGCCAGCTTGGCATCTCACAATGTCCATGAAAACATTTCAGCCCGGACTCCAAAATATAACTAGAACCTACCCACTTCTCCATACCCTGACCATGTCTGCCTTCATCTCCTGCCTGAACTATCACAGCAGCCGCCTTGCCGTTTGGCTGATCACACCCCTCTCCCACACTCTGTTCTTTACACAACGGCCAGAGGGATCCTGACAAAACCAAAGTCAGATGATATCCTTCCTCTCTCGAAATTCGTATTTGAGCAAAAGCCAAAGTCCTTACAATGACCTTTCAAACTACATTATCTGCTGCCACCCCTATTCCATGACAGAGACTTTATCCTCCAGTGCTCTCCTTTTTGTCACTCCATTCCACCATCTAGCCTCTTTGTGGTTCTGTAAATGCCAAAGACCCTTATGCCTGCTGCTTCTCCTGGAACATTCTACCTCATGGTTTGCTCCTCTACTCCTTCATTCCTTCAGATTTCTGTTTAACTCTCACTGATAAAAAGGCCCTTTGTCAGGGACCAGCAGATGGCATAATGGTTACATCACTGAACTTCTACATAGTTGACCATGGTTCGAGTCCCTGGACCCGGCAGCTTAAAACTCACACCGGGCATGTGTGCGTGTGTGCCCAAAATCCTAAGAGGAGACTAGAGGAGAAGAGATTGCAGCATGGCCATCCCTCCAAGGAGTGATTTCTTGCTTTCTGTCTCTCTGTTTCTCTGGTGAGCACACATGCCCAATAGCAAAAATCTCCCTTAAAAGAAGAAAAGAAAAGGTTGGAATAGTAGATGGTCTAATGATTATGTTGCTGAACTCCCATGTAATCCACCACAGTTTGAGTCCCAGACCTGGCGGCTTAAAACTCACAACAGGCACACATGAATCATGCCAAAGGTCCTGAGAGAAAAATGGAGGAGAAGGGATTGTGCTGTGGCCATCCTCTCTGGGGCAGGGGGATGATTTTTTTGCTTTCCTCTCTCTCTGTTTCTCTGGCGAGTGCACATGCCCTATAGCAAAAATCTTTTAAAAAGATATTTTTGGGGGACCAGCAGTTAGCGTAATGGCTATGTCGCTGAACTCCCACGTAGTCGACCATGGTTCACATCCCAGACCCAGTGGCTTAAAACTCATGCTGGGTGCATGTGCGTGCGTGCCCAAGATCCTGAGAGGAGAATGGAGGAGAAGGGATTGTGGTATGGCCATCCCCCCTGGGGGGTGATTTCTCGTTTTCTATCTCTCTCTCTCTGTCTGTCTGGCAAGCGCATGCGCCCTATAGCAAAAAAGAAACCTCCCCCCCCAAAAAAAAGACATTTTCTTTAAAAAAAAAAGGGCTTTTTTCATCTACAATAATTCTGATCCCATAGCTTGCTTTATTTTTCTGCATAGTACTTATTATCAAATCACATTGTTATTTATTTATATATTTGGAGAGGTTTTTGCTATAGGGCATGCACACTCACCAGAAAGACAGAGAGAGACAGAGAGACAGAAAGCGAGAAATCATCCCTCGGGGGGATGGCCACGCTGCAATCCCTTCTCCTCCATCCTCCTCTCGGGATCTGGGGCACACACGCACACACGCCCGGTGTGAGTTTAAACCACCAGGTCCGGGACTCAAACTGCAGTCGACGACGTGGGAGTCCAGCGACATAGCCATTGCGTCACCTGCTGGCCCCACACATTGTTATTTATTTACTGCTCATGACCCCCCAACCCAAGTGTAAGTGTCATAAAGGCAGGGATTTTTGTCCACCTTCCTCATTATTGCATTTCTAGCAGAGTCTAGTACATATTATACTCAAGATATGTTATAGGGGCCAGCCAGTGGCTAGGGGATCTGGATCCCACGTAGCCAACTACATAGGTTAAGTCCCGAACCTGGAGGCTTGAGAAACACTTGAAAATTCCAAGAGGAAAATAAAGGAGAAGGGATTGTGGCATGGCCATCCTTCCTAAGGGGTGTTCTCTCACTTTCTCTTTCTGTTCAACCAGCACACATGCCCTATACCAATGTTTTTAAAATGCCGTTGAATGCATAAACGAATCAGCATCTATCAAGCACAGATATTCCATACAAGGTGAAAGTTGTTGCATAAATGTGGGAGACAGTGGGTAGAGTTGTTATTTCCCCCACCCTGGCTTGAAGTAGCCTTTTCTCACAGCATCTGTGGTATCATTTTCTCCTGGTTTCCCTCCATTCTCTCTGCCAGCCTTTTCTCAATCTTCACTGAGTACGTCAGTCCCTTTGCTCAAACCCTGTGTCCTCATTCCTTAGGGTTTTGTGGTCCTTGTCTCCATTCATTCTTCATACAGTAACTCCCACAGCCTCAATTGTTTTTTTTATCTACAGCCCCAATTTCTCTCTCTCTCAAGTTTATTTTTTCCATGAAAGAGAAACAGGAAGGGAGAAAGAGTCAACCCCAATAGAGTCCTCACCTTGTGATATATCCTAGTCTTTTTTTTTTTTTTTTGAGATGTTTTTGCTATAGGGCACATGCACTCACCAGAAAGACAGAGAGAGACAAAGAGATAGAAAGCGAGAAACCGTCCCCCAGGAGGATGGCCACGACGCAATCCCTTCTCCTCCATTCTCCTCTTGGGATCCTGGGCATGCTCGCACATGCGCCCAGCCTGAATTTAAGCCACTGGGTCCAGAACTCGAACCGCAGTCAACTACATGGGAGTCCAGTGGCATAGCCATTATGCTAACTGCTGGTCCTGATATAGCCTAGCCTTAACCAGCAAGATCACAGGCAAGTGTAAGGCAAGCCTCAGGAAGCCCCATGATACAAACCCAAGACCTTTCCTATATGGGTCCAGTTGTGTTACTGCTGTACCAGGTTCAGGTCCCCCAGTTTCTCTCTTAAGCTCCAGACTCCAGGTATTGTGCAGCCTCTTGGACCTCACTATTCAGCAGCTCTAGACTGGGGCCAGAATCTTCCCAACTTGCTTCTCCTCTGGGGCCCAATCTCCTGGCCAGAGGGCACTATCCTGGACCTTTCCCTTTCTCTCTCTGTCCACGGCTAGCCAGTCTCAGGCCTGTTCACTCAGCTTCCTGGGTATCCCTACCACCTGCACCTCCCAGACTTTCCCCAGTTTCTCCCCTGGTGCAAACCCCCGTTTCTCTCACTCCCCTCCCCCCTAGCTACCTCCCTGGACTCTCGATCCCCCAGTTCCATTCTCTTCACAGGTCAGCGACATCTTTCCAAAATCCCAACTCAAAATCGCCCTCACAGGCTCAAAGCCCTTCCACAGATCCCCAGTGCCATTAGGGCACGTCCAAACTCCCTCAAGCGGCCAAACAGCTGGTTGCTGCTCATTTCTCACCACTCCCTGTCTTAACTCCACCCTGAGCGCATTTCTTTCCAGTTCCTGGAACAAGCCATGCCTCCGCCACTGGAGAGGCTTCTGAGCGCGGGCCCCCTCTGATCCCGGGCAATTTGCAGAATGACTAAATTACAACCAAAGTCAGGGCAGCGATTCCCATTTATTGACGGCCTCTTTTGTGCCGAGCGCTTTACAAGCGTTCTCTCGTTCAGTCCTAAAGGGTAGGTCTCGCTTGACTCTTCCCGCTTGACAGAGCTAGCAGCGGGCTGAGAGAGGGGATGGAGCAGCCGGGAAAGTGTCGTCTCCAGAGCCTGGGCAGAGACTCTCCACTCGGACAGCCCGGGGCTCCGAGGTGCCAAGGCCTGGGGTGGGGCGTGTGGGAGGGGCCTTGAACGCCAGAATAAGGAATTGTGACTTAGTTCGCGGCCACTGAGGTAGACAGCCTCGCGACTGCCCTCTGCGGGGCTGGAGGCCCAATCCGGGACTCCGCCAGGCTGGTTGCCCTTGGCAACGCCGCGCGCGCCCCTCCCCATCCCCGCCCGCGGCCCCGAGTCCCGGGCCCGGCCGACTGCCCGTCACCCTCACGCCCGACCAATCCCACTGAGGAAGGGGCGGGACTCTTGGGCCTCGTTCCACCCCGTCGCTCCCCTCTTGGCCAGGACCCCGCCTTTCTCGGCACACACCTCCCGCCCTTCG